CACACACACACACACACACACATCACTGCAACAAAAGCTGGTGTAAGAAATCTCTAAAAAAAACGCTTCATCAGCAATATTATTGTGAGAATGTTTATGAAGCTTTCACTGTATTATTATCCACTTTTCTTCCGTTCGTTCTTCAGCTTCTTTCTCGTTCCACAATTTTTGTGCTATTTCAGCAAATCATGTATCAAAACGTGCAACTTTTAACTTTTTGAAATATTTAGCCTTGTCTGACTTTTCCCCCCTCATTTAAAATGAATTGAGCTCATTTTACTTCCTTCAAATCTTTGCATCTGTTTACAACCTTTTCCTGCTCCTTTTACATTTTGTTCTGGTTCAGCTTCTTTCAGCTTCCTTCTGCAAATTTAAACATTTTTTTTCAGCTAATTTCAGCTGTTTGTTCAGCTGTTTTGGGCTCCTTTCAGATTCTTTCTGCTAACTACAACATTTTTGTGCTTCTTCTAACTTCCTGCTAATTTCAGCTTGTTATGCTCCTTTCAGCTTATTTCTGCAAATTTCAGCTTTTTCTGCTATTTCAATTCAATTCAGTTTATTTATAAAGCGCCAAGTCACAACAGAAGTCATCTCAGGGCACAGAACAGAAACATTCATATACAAAAATAACATTATTTATCTGAGCAGCAAACTGCTTTGAGTTTAACTCCATCACAGAACTCTCATCTTGAGCGAGCATGAAGGCGACAGTGGAAAGGAAAAATTCCCTCATGAGGAAGAAACATTTAGCAGAACCAGGTCAGAACAAGAGGCCATCTGCTTAGACTGGCTGGTTTTGAGAGGACAGGAAACGATAGATACACAATGGCAGGTCAAGAATTACATGCTACCATTTAGCTGTTTTTATGCTAATTTTAGCTTTTTCAGCTAATTCCACATTTTTTGCACTCATTTCAATTTTTTTCTGTATAATTCAGCAAAAATGTACCCTCTCCACTTCTGGTAGCTTCTTTCTGGTATTCTAGCTACTTTTTAGCTGTTTTTTGTGCTAATTTCAGCTTCTTTCAGCCTAATTGGGCAAACTTGTGTTCTTTCTGCTTTCTTCTGATCATTTAAGCTTGTTCTACTTTTTAGAATTTTTTAGTTAATTTCAGCTGTTTTCAGAAAAATTTAATTTTTTGTTAATTTCTATTACTTTCAGCTTAATTAACTTCTTTCTGCTAATTTCAGCTTGTTGTGCTCTGTTCAACTTCTTTCTGCTAGTTGAAGCTTTTTCTGCTATTTCAGCTACTATTTAACTGTTTTATTTATTTTAGCTAATTTATGCTTTTTCAGATAATTTTTACATTTTTTTGGTGCTAATTTCAGCTTCTTTCAGCCTAATTGGGCAAACTTGTGTTCTTTCTTCTGATAATGTAAGCTTGTTCTACTTTTTAGAATTTTTTTGCTAATTTTAGCTGTTTTCAGAAAAATCTATTTTTTTGTGTTAATTTATGTTACTTTCAGCCTAATTAACTTCTTTCTGCTAATTTCAGCTTGTTTTCCTTTCAGCTTCTTTCGGTTAGTTTCAGCATTTTCTGCTATTTCAGCTACTACCGGTATTTAGCTGTTTTATGCTAATTTGAGCTTTTTCAGGTAATTCCACATTTTTTAGCTCCTTTCAGCTCTTTCAAATTCCTTCTGGTAGTTTGCTTCTTTCTGCATTTTCAGCTTCTTTTCAGTTATTTTTTGCTAATTTCAGCTTTGTGTTTTTTTCTGCTTTCTTCTGCTAACTTAGTCTTGTTCTTCTATTTCAGCTACATTTCAGCATGTTTTTTTGTAGCTAATTTCAGCGTTTTTTCAGCAAGTTCTTCTACAAAAAGCATTCACATTGCATTTTCGCAGGAAATGCAATTTCTCTGGTTATCATTTACGAAACGTTAGGGTCTTGTTCCGTTCGACTACACTTCACGAGATTTCTCTCCTCTCAGGAGCGCGTCGGTCACCTGGCGGAGGATCTGAACGATGAGCGCAACAGTGCGGACCGCCTGATGGAGCGACTGGACAAAACCAAAGAGCAGGCACGTTTATTCCTTCACTGGCTTTTCTTCTCACACAGCTCTCCCATTGCGCAGTAATTCATGGATGTCCTATCAGCGGTATAAATTGTCCGTGTCCAGTATGAACTCTCAGCCTGCATCTGTTTTCAATATAAACACATGCAGAGCCGACTTCTCAGATTTCACCTCAGGCAACAAAAACAGCTGATCAGTGAGTCCAACTTGGCTGTTTTCTATAGTTTGTTTTTATGTTCAGTTAAAACTTACAACAAACTTAATTCTAAACTTTATTTGTAACTTACATTATAAATATCCACACCTTTATTGTGCATGTTAAGAAACCTATCCTTCTTTGGAGTAAAGTGCTGCAGAGGAATTGACACAGAACACAGTTTTGGGTGGGGAGTTAAAGAAAAACACCGTCTGTTGTGAGCACACTCCCTTCAATGGGCCGCTGGATCTGATTATTGACGAGAGTTTTTAGATCTGATGTGGCCACTCAGGCCAGCCAATAGTTCTTCAGAACTTGAGTCAGGCCGAACAAGTTTTCACCATATTCTGTCTTTTCTAATAACATACGAGCTTATTTTCAGTCAATATGGAAGTTTAAACACGTGAGGGGAGGACTGATTTCACGTGAAGCCTTTTGGTCAGAGGGTAGGCAGTGAGTGGTTTTTAAGTCCTACCTTTTTGTACTCAGTGAACAGTAATATTAAAACAGAAAAAGTGTTTCTTCTTGCAACAGATGGATCAGATGAGGAATGAGCTGCTGCAGGAGCGAGCGATCAGACAGGACCTGGAGTGTGACAAGATGAGCCTGGAGAGACAGGTGAGGACATTTCAAACATGGGACAACTAAACCGAGCAGAAGCTGCCTCACAATTTACAGGAGAGGAACTGGAAGCTATCCAAGCTTTGAGCCTGTTTTTCCTCTGCCTGCATTAAAAACAAAAGCTCGTATATTCTCTGTCACACTGCAGACAACAAAAGGAAAACGAATAGTTCTGCAAAACTAAGTCAAGCAAATGGAGCCAACCAGCTGAGTTTGTCTCCTAAATCACATCATTTATGTCTCCTATTAACGTCATTCCAACAGTTAAATTAAAAACGTTAAAAACATATTTTTTTCAGTTATTGTTCTCGTATTGCTTTTTAGACATTTCACAAGAGCTCATTGGCTAAAGTTAGGTTGGAGGAGATGTCTGCAGCTGTACACAGATTTGTTTAGAAGTTATTGATGCTGAAATTAAGAATTTGTTCAACATTTTAATGTTGCTTGTTCATAGAACTGTCGCGATAAACAATAAATCAATTAATCGCATGATAAATGAAAATTATCAACCTCATTTTCATTTATCGGCTTTATCGTTTCTTTGTGTCTCTCTCTTTCTACTGAAGACACTGAAACTCAAGTGCTCTTCACTGACTCCTCCCGTTCTCTTTTCTCTTTAAAATCCATTTTAACCGTCCAAATCGTGTTTTTGGATCGTTAAAAGCAGCTAAACTGAGAAGCTAAGCTAACAGGCCGACCTCTGGGAAAAAAACCTCTGTCTTGTTGAAGCTCCAAAATTCACAGTTGAAACCCGTGCGTTCATGTAAAAGGTTGTTTTTCTCTGCAAAAAGAAGCTGAGAACTTGTTTACTGATTTTTTTTTTTTTAAACTTTGTGTGACAAATGCTATGCTAAAGAGCTCAAACCACACTGAGCGTCTGCCATTTTGAGAACCGAAGAGAGACAGTCCATGTCACGTCAAGGGACCTCCCTCCCATTTTTCTTAGAGACACGCTGCTCACTCCCTCACTATCCATCCGTCGGTTCAAACAATCTTATACTGCCATCCAGTGGTCGAATAAAAGGTACTAGATGCAAAACTAACCAACATTTCTTCTTAAATTTGACAATAATTACTAATTATTGTCAAATTTCAAATAATATTATTGTTTATCACAATAATTTATGAGACAATTAATCACCCAGCAAAATTTGTTATCTTGACAGGCCTAGTTGCTGAACCTCAAACAGGATTAGGTTTGTTAGCAAATGTGTGTACAGGGAATAGATCCTTACCACCACTTGTGATGTTTTGAAATAGACTATACAAGCCAAAAAATTTCCTTTCAGGAAAAAGTGAAACAGAAAACAAAAGCAAAGAAGATTTGAACATAGCATGAAATATTAAAATAAATGTATATTCAGTGTCTTGAGAATAAGATAGTTGAAGCGCTTGTTTGTGTCAGTTTTACCTTATAAAAATAGAAACTGTTCGAGTACACTCTGTGTATTTTGCATAGCGGCAGATCAATTAATCAAGTCAAGTCAACTTTATTTATAAAGTACATTTGAAACAGCAGCTGTCACCAAAGTGCTTAACAGTAAATTAGTGGGAGAAATTTCATGGAGAAAAAAATAACAATAAAAATAATTATAGTATTGAAAATTAATTAAAAGCATCAAAGAGAAACATGGAAACGCAGAACAACAAAATACTAAATCAAATCACACTGTGTTAAAGCCAGAGTAAACAGCAGAGATTTAAAAACGTTGGTTACGTACTGTAACCCCAGATTCTATGAATATAAGCGTAGCCCTTTAAGGCCTTCGCTTTAGTGGGTTTATCCCGTTATGCAGAGCATAAGCACTGAAAAAAATTAGTCCACGCCCACCTGCTGTGTGGGCCCCACCCGGTCCGTATAAATTACGTTAAGAGCGGGAAATCGGCTCCCAAAATAGCTTTTTTCTTCAGCCATTTAGGAGCCAGTGAGGCCCGACGCTTAAAGGGCTACGCTTATATTCATAGAATCTGGGGTTACAGTACGTAACCAACGTTCTATGTCATATAAGCTTCGCCCTTTAAGGCCTTCGCTTTAGTGGGTAAAGGGCGAAGCCGATGTGGTCCACGCCTCACTGGGTCCATTCGAACACAGTAAGAAGCGGAAGCTTGCCCAAAAAACGTCTTGTCACTCAGCTCCCCATGTGCATAACTACGCATCGCGTAATTATGTGCCATGCACAGACGCATGTTGAGTAACTATGCGTTCTGACAAAGCATGAATGCCCCGGAAAAACTTTCAACGGGAAGAAGAAGTTGAAAGGGGGGGGGGGGGGGG